TTTCTTTCGAACCTAACTTAATCTCTTGGTGTATAGCACATATCCCTGGTGTATTGCTAGATTGTAACCTACTGGACAATGGAAAAATTACAGTATAGAACTTGATGCGAGTTACAGAAGTACAAAAATGTTTACCATTTATTCAATTATAGAGTAATGGTTTTAATAAAAGTATACACTTATTGACAACGAATATTTTGAGATAAGATGCTTTCAAAAAAATCTGTCTCTGTGGTATGTCACTGTGAAATAAGCGGTTTGAATCACGGCTTGAGATCAATTCAAATAATTATTTTTTTTTTGGACTAAAAAGGTCAATCACTTTCAAATCTTCGTCCTTTTTAGATTTTGTTGAAGTAATTATGTGTCTGTATTATTGAAATAATTTGCATTAAATTAGGTTTGAGTAAACAAATTGAACGATCAATTACCCTTGAATGGTAAACGAGCGGAAATTGTTTAAGTAGCTAAACATTAGATACGTATATCAGTAGTATTATTTTCTGATATTTTTTATTTGTTGATTTAATGATAAGGAAAATCTTTAATAATTTTATTCAAACAACTATGAGTAATGCTCATCTTGACAATATTTCGAAACTAACTAACATTCATGCTACTGAATGTTTTTTATTTAGATTTCCTAATATTATCATTTAATAAAGATATTTCAACATTTCTATTAGGGTGTAATAACAGGAAGTAAAACAATTACTTGTCGATAATAATAGCCACTATGTATCTAGAATCTGCATATCTATATACATATAGGTACTTGGTACAACATAGAAACCGTTGCAAATGATTTAGGATGTTATTACAGGGAAAATCAGTGCCAATACGAGAGTGACTTTTTCACTAACATTGAATAGTAGCCGTTATTTTTTAAACAAGTATGTTAAGAATTGTACAGGTTAAAATAAATTAATTCTCGATTTTCAAAATAACACTTGGCCAAAACTTCCTACAGCTGTAACTCTGTAAGGGGATACCGTAGAGGGGCACATTCGATCTCGACGTGCTGCGCAGTGTCTCTAGAAAATTTTGATAACACCCCTATAGAAATCGGACTATTTAATCGGAAAATTTGAGCCATACCGTGGATTCAGAAAAACGCTAAAACGAAAAGTGGGGTAAATTATGTGAATTCGGTTGGCGCTAGCGCAGACCGAGAATGTCATAGGTAAATACGGTTTTTATCAAAATATTTCTACATGTATTGGGCTTCGAACCACCTATGTTTCGAATGCATCGGACGTTGAGGTGGGGAGCTACGAATTTTTAACCGCCGCAATGTTCCTGAGCGCAAAATTTCCAAATTTGACCGGTTGTAGCCTGTAGCTCGAAAACAGTAGAAGTTTTCGGAAAAAGTCTTTCACAGACCGATGCCCCCTTTCAGTGCGAGCGCCATCGAACGTCTGCGGTCTCATTCGGTGCCGATGTGAAATTCAAAATTTTTAAAATTTTTATATTTTATTTTCCTTCGAAATAAAATTTTTCCTTTTCACCACGGTGCGGGTCAACCATTGGTGAAAGAATTTTTGCTCTATTTTGAATAGTTCGCCAGATATGTTCTCCTAAACATTTAATTCTCGATTTTAAAAATAACACTTGGAAAAAACTTCCCTCAGCTTCAACTCTGTGAGGGAATATCGTAGGGGGCACATTCGATCTCGACGTGCTGCGCAGTGTCTCTAGATAATTTTGATAACACTCTTGTAGCCTGTAGCTCGAAAACGGTAAGACTTATCGGAAAAACTCTTTCACAGACGGATGCCCCGTCTCAGTGCGAGGGTCAGGGAACGTCTGCGGTCGCATTCGGTGCCGATGTGAAATTCAAAATTTTTAAAATTTTTATATTTTATTTTCCTTCGAAATTAAATTTTTCCTATTCACGACGGTGCGATGCGGCGGTCTGATTACAATAAACAGTTAAATAAAGCAGTTTCTATTGAGGTAGTTTAAGCTAAATGTATTTATACCTTGCTTACTTTTGTCATACTTTGCTTGACGTGACAATTAATTGTTTACCTTAAATCATTTAAATAACAGTAACAATGTTCCGAATCGGAATCATTTTGTGTTCTGAGACGTTAATATTCTCTACAGAGGAAAATTTTTTAAAATTCTCTTTCAATGTGAACTCCTTATAACAGAAACTAATGACGATTTAACGGATTCTGAAGAAGATGAATAATAAACTCCTTATACTTTCTATTGTGTTGTATTATGTAATGTAACTTTTGATTGTTGCATTATGTACATTGTAATTATGTCTAACATTATCATTTGCTTATTTTTAAATCATTTATATAGAGTAGGGGTATGGCATGGGAGTACCCGTTTGGTACAAAGGTTACGAAGCGGCATGACTTAGAGGTTTAGACCATTGCATAGCATTTTGGAGGACCCCGGTTCGATTTCGAAACCGTCAGCTTTGGTCCAAGTTTTTCTTTGGTTTCCTTGCATCACTTAGGCAAATACTGGGGCGGTAATATTCCACAGATAATCTTTCATTCTCTTCTGTATTCATTTCGTCCGTCTCATTTTTCTCACTCGAACCATCACCCACCCCACGATTCCTAAAAGGAAGCTGAACCCCTTCAGGGGCCTTGTCCCTACCTTCCGGCAAAGTCCGGAGGGACTGCCCGCCCACTGGTATTAGTGATTAGTGGGAATGAAACACCCAAAAGTTTTTTCCAAAGCTCATGCTTTAGATAGAAGGTATAGCATATAACTAGTTTAAGGACAATGTGTATAAAAACAATTGCAAGAATAAACTCGATGTACGATATTAAAGAGCAATTGGCAAAAGCCATAATGGCATGATATAAAGAATTATTATTGTTACTAAATCTCCACGAAACAACAATATATGTATTTTAGTTTAATATTATCATAAATAACTAAACGAATAAACTAGCATCACAGCTACTTTGTTTTTTTACTTATACTGTACTGTACAGTATCAGCGCTCTATAACGAAACGGATATTCTCTATAGTGAAACAGTACGCCACATTTGTACAGCATGGACGGTGAGTAAAGGGCCATTGTGCCATTAAACATTTCATTTGTGAAGTTTTATTTACTTTTATATGTTACTAGATTAATCTAATTTTAAAGCTAGTTAAAGCTTTTGCTGAAACATCTAAAGCTTCTGTTTTATTTTAGTCTCGTTATACAGGGTGTCCCAAGCAGGCAGGTTTCTTCAATAACTGCTTTACAGTTGATCTTATCAAGAAAAGTTTTTTACAAAAGTGGTAGCATGTAAGTGTTAACTATTTTTTTTATAATGGAATGCTAAATTTTTTGTCAGCTCATTATGTAGAAAATTTAGTTCCAATGTAAGGATGTTAGCATCTACGACTAATACTTTTTTGAGAATATTAAACATTTTTTATAATACCAATATATATATCAGGATATCAAGTATGCCTTGGTTGGCGATTCGCTTTTATCCACCTTTGTATCCTACGAATGTCAATTCTGTGTGTATAACGAGGTGCTAAGTAACGTTTCGTTTTATACGTTTTTAATTTCTGGACTGCCTAGCTATAGTTTTGGATAGTGACTTAGGGTTCTTTCTAGGTGCAGATTTCATTGTTCAGCTAGTAACAAACCACTATAACACCCTGCGAAAAGTATCTACTCAAAGATTATATCCGTTTGGATATCGCTGGGCATACACTCGAGATGCCATGGGAGAGGATTTCACCAGTATTCCCTAAGAACAAAAACCATATCTATCTTTTCATCTTTACTAAAAGCCATAGACTAGAGTGGTATTTAAATTTAACGAGGAATTCAAATACGCACTCCATTTGAAAAATTGAAGTTAGGTTGTCTCCAGGAAATTTGGAACAGTCTGTACAATCGGAAATAATTTTAGGATATGAAGATATTTATATGGTACCACTTTTGTAAGAAACTTTTTTTGATATCTTTAACTGTAAAGCAGTTATTGAGGAATCGCGCTTGCTATAGCTAAGTATTTAACAAAAAATCTCTATATGACGAAAGAAAACGTCTTTTGAGTTTTATTACAGAGAGCTTACACTGTATTCTTACACGTACTACCTAGTTCAGTCAAGGAGGCTCTTTTTCCATCAAAAATTAACATTTCCGTTACGGCACAATTTTATTTTTAAATAAATAATAAAATAATAAGCTTATTCTGAATTTCGTTATCCATAGTCTGGGATGTTAGAGCATCATTTCTTAATTTAACGATTATTAACAAAAAATTCTTTTACCTACTTTTTGTAAAATGTTTCGTCTCTAGTGCATTTTTCGTCATTCAAATTTAAATAGTTTTTTGAATATTCTGGCTTGGTTTCAGTAGGAAAAAATATTTACAAAAAAAATTGTACATTCTGTAATAGAGGGGGAAAATTTCGGTTGCTTATTATTCGTAAAGTTGCGATAACCGTTTTTTCTAAATTGTTAAACAATTTCATATATTACAAGCAACAGTCAATATAATGATAGAGATATAGAGAGAATGAGATATATAATGTTAAAAATTAAGTTTTTTGACTTTGAACATGATTTGTTAATAAATAAAATCACTTAGCGACTTCCTACAAGCGCTATTATCCATTACAATTGCATTGCTCAAATGTGCTGTTATTGGTTACCATTTACTACTGAAAATATCAACGAGATGTTTATTTATATTTGAAGACATATTAAAGGCTTTAACGCTTATTTTCGACTTGCACTACTATTCACGAGTGAACAAATCTTTTGGCAGGTACTGTATGAAAAAGTATGTTTAATGAACAAGAGTCGAGAGTATAATAAGCTTTTTTCTTCCTACCTACGATTTTGCCAGCGCGCATCCAAGACATTGGAAGGAGCACATCGCTAGAGAAAGTAAATTAAGTATACATATTTTGAAAAATGCACTAGAGAGGAGATGTTTTGCAAAAAGTAGACAAAAAAAATATTTTCTTTTGTTAAATTACGAAATGTTGCCCCAACATCTCAGACTGTGGAAATTCAGAATCAACGTATTTTTTTTTTTTTTTTACTATTTTACCAAAGAAAACTTGAAGTCATCCTGCTTCCTTGACTGAGCTATATAGAAAGGCATTTATGCTATTTCCCTCTTAACTCCCTTTGGATTTCCACCAACGACTTCCCTTTTGTTTCCGGTACAAAGAAAAATGGAAAAACTGCTCCGGCAAAGGACATGCCCGCGAAAATATAAAAAGTAACGTCAACACCTACACTGTTTTGCATGTTTAAGTAAAATTTTGTTATCAAAAACGATATAAACCAATTGAAAGCACCAGTTCCGGCTATTAGAACGCTTTTCACTTCTGCAGGAAACATTTCTACTGAAATTATCCAAGCCACCGGTCCATATCCTAGTTCACTAGAAATTACGAATGCGCACAAACAAAGTATCGGAAGAAATACTAGTTTACTGACGATGTCGGAAGATATAATGTTCTTATCTTGAAATGTGAAAAAGAGAGCGAATATAACTTCCGGTATTGCCATAAAAAGACCGGATATGATCAAGAGCGTACGTCTACCTAAACGCTCTATTAATACCGCCGATACACAGTTTGCGAGGACTGGTGCTGCTCCTATAACAATGGTCGATATTTCTGGATCTAGTATTGACGCATCGATACCAGTGGCGGCGAAAATGGTGGATCCATAAAACACCACGGCATTGATACCGCAAGCTTGCTGGAAGAACATAACGCCTAAGGAAACTAAAGTTGCAATCTTGGTTTCTCTTTTCTTAAACGACTGAAGAACAGGCAGTTCGTTAGCTCTGTCTTCTTCAATATCGCATCTGATCTGTTTGAGTTCATCCGATGCATCATAAAATCGTCCTCTTAACCTTTGCAAACTCCTCAATGCCTCACCCTCGTAATTACGTTTTAGTAAATAATACGGTGTTTCCGGTTGCGTCATGAACACAATAGCAAATACTATGGGTAATGCTGTTAAAATAATAGCAGTTGTTTTAGCACTTAGTACGTAACCCAAGACGTAAGCTATTAAAACCCCTACGGTCAATAAGAGCTCTGAAAATGTCGAAAGAGTGCCTCGAATTTCTTTTTGTGATGTTTCCGATACGTATTGCGGTGCCGATAGACTGAAGCAGCCTCCTGCAAAACCACCCAATATTCTGCCGACGTACATCATGATAACATTCTGGGCAAATATTACTAGAAGCCAGCCTACTGTGAATGGAACAACCAACAGGAGCATCCCATATTTTCTTCCCATGTATTCGCACAGAGGTCCTATCGCTATGCAAGATAGAGCTGCTCCTATGTTCGCCAACGATCCTATCCATCCTAAGCTTTCATCGTCTATTGCGATATTATTGAATTTTCCGTTCTCAAGATCATCTGTTGTATTTCCAGTCCATCCCAGGACGGTTCCGGAACATAAAGCTCCTAGACAGACTGAAACAGAAGGATGTTGTGAACTGCAATATAATTATAATAAAGTGTCGTGTTAAAATGTTAAGAGCAGCTGGTCGGAAAAGCAGGAAAACCTTTTAAATCAGTTCAATAGCTAACATTGTAAAGTTACAAAAAAATTAGGACTTCCACCCCGATGGTTAAGGACAATTATATTTGACTCCCATCAGGGGCATCAGTATGGTTTTGTAGTTAATAAATACTAACTTTATAATTCTATTTGCTCTGATTTTTACATATATTACGATTAAAAGGGAAGAAATGGTATTTGTGTCTTCTACAAAAACAATATTTAGGTATTACAGGGCCTTACCAGGAGTAGAACCCGGTACCAGACTGTAAAAAAAGGTATCTCCTTAGAACTCAGCTTTTATAGGTGCTTTTTTTCGATTTGGAACTTCCCTAACGAAATATTTGCGATAACAGACTAAAATGAATTACTCAATGTATGGACTAAACGACAAAAATTGGTGAGCCATTCCTGCCAAACGTTATTTTACTTGTGTAAATGATTTCCATGGGAGATGATAAAGGAAATAAGATTAGTACAGAATTTAGTGTCCTAAGCAAATCAGTGATGTGTTGTACAAAGAACTGGTAAATACTATAATTACTTGTACAAAACTTGTTGCAATGTTTGATTATTTTATATTATTTATATTAATAATGAAACAAAACAGACGCTAAATATTAAAAATCAGATAAAAAATTAAAAAAATTCATCATTCTTTAGAACCGTTAAAAATAACGCTCTTGAAGCGGTGAAACTGTTTTAATTTCTCATCTGATTTTTATGTTTGAATGCTAACGTTTAACAGTAACAGAATATTAAATTTTTCAGATGTCAATTAATTATTTGCCATTTTTTGAGCAACATTGATATCTTTAGCAATGCAACTCCCTTAGTTTGAACTGAAAAAAAAAATGAAGGAGTACACTGAGAAAACAAATCAAAAATTGCCATGCTCATCACTATAATGTGAGTGAAACTGTTTTAATTTCTCATCTGATTTTTATGTTTGAATGCTAACGTTTAACAGTAACAGAATATTAAATTTTTCAGATGTCAATTAATTATTTGCCATTTTTTGAGCAACATTGATATCTTTAGCAATGCAACTCCCTTAGTTTGAACTGAAAAAAAAAATGAAGGAGTACACTGAGAAAACAAATCAAAAATTGCCATGCTCGTCACTATAATGTGAGTGCAGGAGATACGTATTGACCATTTTATGGATGAAATTAGGAAAATTCATAATTCAAAATATGAAACTTTACTGGAAAGCTTCGGAATTTTTATTATCAGATAGTATGACAATTTCTCTAAGATTTTTGTGCCAACCTAACAGTTATTTGTAGAATCGAAGCCAATATAAGGTAAAAAGTTTTTTACTACTTGAAAAATTATTACAACTTTTCAGGGTAGATTTTTCAGTCCTCGAAGATTTCCTCTTACTCTCTTATTGTGAATTATTTCATGATAAATTGATGCAATTTTAATTTTAATGTGTTGTTTACTTTTATGGAAACTCCATAACCATCAGTACTCCCAAAATTATAAATCTGGCGAACGAGCAGGATAATTAATATAGTCAAATCAAGAAACTAGATGTGCTAAGGAAACAATTCGCGCAGTGTGTATATTTTTCTTTTTTCCTCTAGTCGTGCGTGAACCCGTTTAGAATTCTATTTAGGCATTCCTAAATACGAATGCGGACCCAATTAGGAAACACTGAGGCAAAGCCTTTAAGAGGTCCCCATTAGGTTGGCCAAAATGTGGTCAATTTTGAAACAAAGAAATTTTAGTGCATTTCTACGTATATAGCAGCTTAATATAAGTATAAGTATCGCAGCATTTCCTGTAGCATCATCATCATCATCATCATCATCGAAGAAGATATGAATTACCCAAAAATCTCAGTTTAGCAATAGTAATTGTTCTGTCAGTCCTACTGATTGATTATTTTGCGATTACTGGTTATGGGATTATCTTAAAAGTAATTTGTATACACCTCGTCTTGTCATTATTCACAAAATAAAACAATACACTATAAATGAAATTGCAGCGAATAACGGCACAGGTAACTATTACAACAATGTGTATGAAATAAGGGAGCTTATTTTAGGGATGTATTATTTAAAAAATAAAATGGCATGAACGCACATTTATATATAATGATATACTTACCTACAGTACTGAATTTTGCATCTTAAGGCCAAACGCTGTTAGCACGTTCTTAAGTAGATAACAAAACACCTTTTATCTTTTATTGGCTTTGATTTTCCACAATTTATGAAACATGAGAATGAAATGGAAGCTGTAGTATTTCTTTACCTGATAAAGCAGCAATATATTGAGGCGTCTTTTCAGCATTTTTCAATTTCTCTTCGCCCAAAATGCACTTTGTAGACATAATAACTGTTGGATCAAAACTGGGTACAATTGTGAATGATTTGTCGTAGTATACGGTACAGTTCGTTTACGTGGACATACCTGTAACTAATGCCAATTTTCTGAGAGGTGCATAGCAACATACGCAGGTGTGGGAGGAAATACAATGGAATTGTTTTACTTTATCGATTTAATAAAAAACAGTGCCTCCTTGTAAAGACATTTAAGTTTAATTTGACTCTAATTTAGTTTTTTTTTTGAAAGGCAAATAGAGCCTTCCTTCAAACAAAACGAAAACACTAGTGTAGTTTCAATAAAAATGTATTAAAAGTCACATTCAACAACAATCGTTTAGAAGTAACCGGTCATTTTCAAATGTACTTTTTGGGCCTTTATTTATACAATGGCCATTAACTTACAGAGAAGATAAAATAAGTGATGTACATACTTTCTGTAGCGGGTTCTCTTTTGTTACTTATATTATTTTTCTTATTTACGAAAGCATTTGGTAAAGGTGTAGATGATGGGGGGGTAGCGGGGATCGAATGATGAGGTCTCCCCCACCACTGTACCATAAAAAGTTCGTGGCGGTCTCACCCCCATAAAAAGTTATGGGGCTTCAAAGTTAATAAATATGCCAATTTTTATACATTTCTAAGCATGTAAATATTTATACTCATTCTCAAAGAATATTCAAAGGTAAAACTTATGAAAAATACATAAAAATATTGAGAAAGTTATATAAAACACTATTTAAATATCTTTATCAATAGGGTAGTTTAGGTTAGGTTATCGGATTTTGTTCAAGTGACCACCCTCTTTCGATCCCCCACCTCCACCCGCTTGAAAATATTTTTTTTATTGAATTTTATTTATAGTGTATGAAAATTGTCAAAATAATCAACTTTCAACCTGCATAACTTTTTATGGGGATGAGACCGCCACAAATTTTTTATGGGGTTTTACTCAGATGACCACCCTCTTTCGAGCCCCCCTACCCTACGGGGGTGGGGAGTCATCATCTAACCCCCATAACTTTTTATGGGGGTGAGACCGCCACGAATTTTTTATGGTAAAGTGGTGCGGGAGACCTCTTTTTTCCATTCCACTCACCCCATCATCTAGACCTTTACTGAGCATTTTTATTTATAATATTCTAAACGATTTGATTTAATTTTTATTGGTGCGGAATGTAAAAGCTTTACGTTTCCTATGGTTACAATTAGTTAATATTGTTTTTGATTTTACATTCAGGTCTTCAAATACATATAATGTTTAGGGATCGGCCGCTCGATATTTGTTTTTTAAGAAAGTAAATGCGACAGTTTTATTGCGATTTATGTCAGTTTTGAATATCCCAGCTATAGGTAAAGATGTAGGAGGTAATCTGGGAAACTCTTTCACTAATATTTTAAATGCACTAAGGGTATTTAAATTAGTAATGAAATAAAAGGTTATTTATTAATACGAATGCTACCTTAAAGGTATCAAATATATGAATACTTGCTATAGAAAAGTCGTACAGCCTAAAGAAGCCTGTAAAAAAGTCCGAGAAGACAAATATCTGTTTTTTATTAATGTTTATGCTAGTGTAAAATATCACGTGTAAGTTATCTACACATGTTAATCGTTAAAACATTTTCTCAAACTTGTAATCACTTAATTTATTAATGCAGTATTGTTTGTGTTTTATGGTTAATAAAAATGCATAATGAGATTGGCGAAACTTTAGACTAGCGAAACGAAGCTTTTATTAACACCAATCTGGTCGCATTATTTAATGTGGTCCTCACGTGAACAATGAAGTTTTATTTACTTTATGTGTAGGACGATCATTTCAATTTTCATTTAACGTCTTAGCTTAATATCTGAATTTTTGAATTTATATTCCATGTTAAACTAATGTTAGTTTGTTATAATCTATACACAGGACAAAGAGGCCGATTCCTAAATATTAGAATTAGAGAACATGAATATAAAATTAAAAAGATGTTTTTAGGTTAAAGCAAGAGGGTGGAAAATGAGAAAGAAGCCTATTTCAATTTAATACAGCAAAAAAATTTTCGTCTGGAACCCTATTGGCTTTCACGTCGCCCTTAACACCTAAAATATCTATTTAGTATTCTATAGGGTCTTCCCTCTCCCCCAGCCTATTTATTCCAAAACCCCCAAATTTTGTTGAATAAAAAAAATGTAGGTACCTACCCATGATTCTTCCTATCACTCACATAAAAGACACATTGTAACCTCTGTAGTTTCAAATACTTTTCTTAGACGAACATGGAACACTTCGTTGTGGGCAATGAGAACTAATATGTGCGAAATTGCGATCGATAAATTACTGACTATGAATTTAATGTTCATTATAAGCATGAAGATGTTTATAAAAGCTGCGGCATTGTTATCTCTATAACGAAATCAGCCGCTGGTTTAAAATAGAAATATTAAGGATTGATAATACAAATTAAGCAAATACTCCAATAAGTTTTACGTACTTAATTATTTGTAACTTATTGTTTTTCATTAAAATTATTTTTATCGTATGCATTACTTGTATAAAATGTCCTTTGTCAATTTTTTATCGCTTATCTGATTTAAATAGGTGATAACAGTTATTATCAGAAGTGTTTTTATCGCAATATGCTCTTGAGTGTATGTATGTAATTTTAGCACATTGTCACTAATAATTAGTATTGAGCGATAAAATGTTCGCTAATTAATAAATAATATTGGTAGATAATAGTCAGGTAGAACTGCCCAGTTTTTTTTGCCATAAAGAATTTCTATTTGTAAACTGAGGTCGTATTGCGACCAGGAAATAGGAAAAACCCAGAGAAAACTGGGAAATAAAATTGGTCGGGAATAACTGGGAAAAAGCCGGGAAATTTGTCAAGTAAACGGGTAGTTTTTCAACTCGCGCGGTATCGACGAAAAAGTACGACATTTTTACGAAGAATGTAAAATGCTCGAAACTACGTACAAGTAAATAACTTATAAGTTACATATAGTTTACATTAGAGTAAACGAGAATAGATATCTGTATTTAATTCCCAATGTAGATGTTACCAAAGTAGTACAAAGACAGTCTTGGTTTTGGCCGTGTATTTTTGTAAAACTAGGACCAAGACTACAAAACCAACATCAATTTAGCTAATGAAAAACGCGTGCGCCAAGTGTAAAGTAGTTAGGCAAAAGCATTTTGCAGAGAAAAACTGAGGTAGTTTCTTTTACGCCTAAGCGGAAGTGGGAGTTCGAAGTCCTCAAACTAGAAGAGGAGAAGAAAATACTTTTTCAGTAGGGGCAATTGACTATCTCCGATGGAATCCAAGTTTGAACCGTAAAAAAAAAGTCTGTAAGAATAAAACAAGAAAACCAGGAAAAAGTGGATTCTCATAAGCAAAGGTGCTGGACTAAAACGATATGAGCGGGAAAGTTAGGAAAAGTAGCCGGGAAAACCTGGGAAATTCTTTTTGACCTGGTGCTGGATACTCTGAAACTAAAATAAAATCAGGAAAAAGGTACTTATAATTAGGTACTTATCTCACTTGCATGTGCAACTGCTAACAATATTTACAGTACTCATACATAGAACTCGAAATCAAATCGTCCTGTTTGAAGAAAACAATCAAGTGTTATTGTACCTCGTATATTGAAAAATATATCGTAATAACATTCTTACCATCTGTTTGTTTATTAAGTAATAGTTTTTATTAAAACACACTCAGTGACAGTAAATAACTCGTGATAAGAAAAATTTCCAATCTGTAATCTGCCACTGTGAGAGAATCAGTTTGATCCATTTTTTTGGCCTAAAAGGATCAATCAATTTCATTTACTTATCCCCTATAGATATTAGTTGCAACAATTTGTTCGTGCAACTGAAATAATTTGCATTAAATTGCGTATGTAAGTAAACAACTTTATTGGTGTATTGTCTTTTAAAGTGGTAATGTAACAGAATTGTTTACGTATAGTTAAGCATTATTAGATATGCGTGTTGTTTGCTCATATTTTTTAATTGTTGACTTAACGATTAGGTAACACCTTAATGATGCTACTTTAATGACTTTATTCAATTACTGTAGCACTATTCATCTTGACAGTTTTTCTAAATAACATATTTTTATACTCTATACATACCTATCATCATCATAAGCTCGTCAGTCATAAGACTGATTGGACACGCACCTTTACTCTTTACTATCCTGAGCTAATCTTCGCATTTCCCTAAAACTAGAACATCCCACATCCTTAACCATTTGCGAACAGTAATCTAATCTGGGTCTACCTCTACCCCTCCTAATACTCGTTTGTGCCTTTAATATGTCTCTGACTGGACCTTCATGCTTGAGAAGGTGTTCTACCAACCTATATCGACTATTTCTTATTGACTTCCATAAAGGCCTCTGTTCTTCTATTCTTTCTAATACCTCTTCATTTCTAACCTTCTTTATCCACTGTATCCTCAATATTCGCCTGTAACACCACATTTCGAACGCTTCTAACCTTTTCTTTTCCGCCGCGCCCACTGTCCATGTTTCGCACCCGTACAGCGCCGCGCTCCAAACATACACCTTTAACAACCTTTTTCGAATTCCTTAATCAACCGTTCGCGAGCATAGAAGTTACTTCTTTTTACTGAAGGTACACGACCTTGCGCTATCCTCTGGTTTATATCCCTACTACTCCTTCCGTCCTGACTTATCTGACTTCCTAGATACCTTAAATCAGCCACTTCTTCTAATTTTTCGTCTCCTACTTTTATATTCGCTTTTTCTCTACTTTTTCTTCCCTTGCATACCAGTATTTTTATTTTACTTTTACCTATATGTATATTTAATTTAAACTGTGTTTATGACATGGACACAGCTAAATTTCGTTTTTGTACGAGCCAAGAGTGGACCACAACCTTGTTTTGAGTTTCCTGATAATTTTAATTATATTACATTATTATAGGCGGATGATGAGGATATCGTGGGTAGAAAAGGTTAGAAATGAAGAGGTATTAGAAAGAATAGAAGAACAGAGGCCTTTATGGAAGTCAATAAGAAATAGTCGATATAGGTTGGTAGAACACCTTCTCAAGCATGAAGGTCCAGTCAGAGACATATTAAGGGCACAAACGAGAATTAGGAGGGGTAGAGGTAGACCCAGATTAGATTACTGTTCGCAAATGGTTAAGGATGTGGGATGTTCTAGTTTTAGGGAAATGCGAAGTTTAGCTCAGGATAGGAAAGAGTGGAGGTACGTGTCCAACCAGTCTTAGGACTGATGACCTTATGATGATGATGATTACACACCTACGGGGAAAAAGTAAAGAATGTCTCATCGCCCTGCGGTCAGGAAGTAAAATTTGTTTGAGTTATTTAGCAGTCAAGTACATCGTGAGAAAAAACGCAGACGCTTTCGTACAAACTATATCATAAAATAAAATAATATACGTATATATAAGGCGTCTTAGATTATGTGAAATTCAGAGTGGGTCAGAATTGGTAGCTACGTCCCTGATTCCTGAAAATTTTTGTTTCTAGTAGGATATAATAAAATAAATACAATCTGATTACAACGTTACAGATAAAATTGCAAGGTTGCTGATCAGTTTGCCATTTGGTCACTTGTTTTTGACATTTTTCAAAGCTTTTAATACTAAGCAAACAAACAATTCTGCGACAAAGTAAAACAAAGTCCCCAAACGATAACTAGATCTAACATAATTGGAGGATGTTATTTAAAATTTCCAGGAATAAATCGTTCCACTACTCTCCTTCAGAAGTTTTACATGGAATTTAACAAAGCAAAAGTCACCTCAATTACAATAATAATTACAATAAAAATTTTCTTATCTAATTAATTCATTGTTTCTAATAGATATTCTTAAAATGAGCTCAAGTAATATGAGAAAAATTAATTTTTGCAGCTTTGCAAACTCAAACGAAACATCTTACATTCTCAGACCAGTCACCCCAACTTGAAGGCGTATAAAACCCAGACACATTACTATCAATCTCTTGTTTTCGTAACTTCATGGATTCTGTCTGCCGTTTGACGATGAGTAGAAAACGACGAGTCACGGTTTTTGACAATTTACGTTACTACGCTTACTCTACTTGTATATACCCTTTTCCTTTTAGGAATTATAATTTATTCCACAGGATTTAGAATTATACAATAATTTTGTTACCTTTTCTTCAATATATTCTTTAAAATTCTATGTATGTACATACTAACAATGGCGGATCTAAGTCTAACTGTATCCTCGAGACCTGCTTAAATTGTAGTAATCCTGTTGCATTCTTGAAAAAGCGCTAGACTATAAACATGTGTTTGATTATATTTTCATTATTAAATAGAACCCTTATATTCATGAATTCTCAAATTCTACAAACATGTGCATCAAAACTCTTTCGACGTTGTTTTCAGTTGAAGAAACCAGTGACAGTACGTATTTCATTTTATTTACTGAATACTAATGTGACATACTCACTGAACTTTTTGTTTGGTTTTGTCATGTAAAAATCTTAATCGTTATGTGATAATGATAAATAATATGTAATAANTAGAACCTTTTTTGTTTCCATTAATGGGTACCTTTCAAAACGGCGAATTTATATTCTTCACATGATTTATGTAAGGTGTTGAGTACGTCAACTCTAAAAATTATTAAATAACTCAAAAACGAAACATTCCAGCTCTTTAATGAGGTTAAAGTTCAAAAATACGACAGTACGTGTATAGACGAAACGTTTTGTAATAAAAATAAGAATATCCAAGTATGACAGTATATCGCCATCTAGTGGGTATTTGCTGTTAGTAAAGTACTTCATGCGTTAGACATCAGCCCTACTAAGATATCAACTTTCCTAACTGAATCGACATTGTGTCATACGGGATAGATACGCAAACCATTTTAATAAATTTTTTATTTTAAGTTCTTGGTCAGAAAATCGGAAATACCAAATGTGGATTGCGATTTCGATCATATTACATCTCATCAGGGCACCGTAAACAGTCTCGATAAATCATCGATGAAAAATAAGAATATTTCTTTTGAACATTATCATCATCATCATCATTATCGTAATAATGTATTTGCCCCACCCCTTCTTCCTATGTTAAACCAATTTTCGCATTTCTCGAAAACTGGAGCAACCTATATCTGTAACTAGGTATATGCTGTATATACACAGGGCCGTCTTTAACGTATTGGAGATCCTGGGCATATAAGGATAACGACTTTGATAAATAAAATAAGTCAAATTCTAAATTTATTCAGCAAATTATTCTAAGAAAAATTTTTTTTGTTGAAAATTAATGCAAACTTTTATTTGCAATTTCACTATAATTGCGCTTATGGCATGCAACAGCTATTATGCAAGTAGGTATTCTAGGCAGTAATTATTGGTTTATTATATCAAAATAAATATATTT